ACGGGTTTTGAGACCATCTACCCAACGGGCAAGGCCTATGCTAACTGTATAACCCCCTTACGGCGTTTAGACCATAGCTCATGTTACTTTGGGAACCAGGACTATCTCAGGTCATGGCCGCAGGCCTTCTCCAGCCTTGGCTACTTGGATTTACCTTTTTAAAGGTGGAGGACTCAGTGACAACAATGCATGAACAAATCAGGCTTGAAGCTTGCAGTTTTCAGTATGCCAGCAGCAGCAGCTACAGTGCCATTGGCTTTCTGTCGATGATCTACTTATGAAACCCCACCCCGGCGCAGCAAAAGGGTTAAGGCTAAGGATGTAGCAGTCTGGAGTCAAATTTGGAGGCTTGGCCTGGACTCTAGGGTTATATTGGGGTTATACAGGGGGTATGGAGGGGTAATGTTAGGGTTTGGGGTTTCCAAAAAAGACTCCTTCTGCAAGCCCTGAAGCAGCACGTTTTTGGTGGTGATGTTGTCAAGGTTACAGACTTTGCAATCTCTTAGCCCTACAGAGCAGGCTCACACAGGCTACCTCGTCAAAGGACACTTGAAACCGTGTCGTTAGGCGCTAGCTAGACTATCTCTGATCTTCAGAAAGCCGCGTGAGCCTCATGGTAGGGACTCTCAAACAAGAACCCATGGCTTGGTCACAACCTCTTTTCGAGGCGAGCTTGCTTGCTCTTAAGACACGACCAAGCAAGTCATGATCATCTTTGAAGATATACTTTCTGTGGAATGGAACCCCCGGCCCCGATTTGTTCTATTCGTGGACCTTCGGTCTGTTAAGCGCATGCTGGATGTACGTGTCCTCGGTCTAGATCTGTACCATCTCTGTGCCGACCCCTTGAGGCTTGCATGTACTGTATATCAACTTCAATCACCTAAGCCCAGTGCCGAGTAGAAGAACGGACCCTTCGGTAGGTTCGAGGATCCCTCACATTTCTGAGGTCAAGCAATGCTCAAAAAGCTCCAAACGCTCCAAACCCCGAAGCCTATACCCTAACCCCTGAAATCCTAAATGAACAGCAAAACAGTGGCGGGTCTGGCCCTCCGGGAGTGGAGGGGTCCGTGCTGTAGTAGACCTATGCAGGCAAACACCAGCTGAGGGCTAGCAGGTTCAGGGTCCAGGGCTTTCCCAAAACGCTAAACCCTAAATCCCTGAA